GTCTATAGGTGCTACAGAGGTTTTGACATAAGCCACATAATGAGTCGTGTATATAGGAACTATATACAGAATGAATCGTGTCTATAGGTGCTACAGAGGTTTTGACATAAGCCACATAATGAGTCGTGTATATAGGAACTATATACAGAATGAATCGTGTCTATAGGTGTTACAGAGGTTTTGACATAAGCCACATAATGAGTCGTGTATATAGGTGCTACAGAGGTTTTGACATAAGCCACATAATGAGTCGTGTCTATAGGAACTATATACAGAATGAATCGTGTATATAGGTGCTACAGAGGTTTTGATAGAAGTCACAGAATGAGTCGTGTCTATAGGAACTATATACAGAATGAGTCGTGTCTATAGGTGCTACAGAGGTTTTGACAGAAGTCACAGAATGAGTCGTGTATATAGGAACTATATACAGAATGAGTCGTGTCTATATGTGCTACAGAGGTTTTGACAGAAGTCACAGAATGAGTCGTGTATATAGGAACTATATACAGAATGAGTCGTGTCTATAGGTGCTACAGAGGTTTTGACAGAAGTCACAGAATGAGTCGTGTCTATAGGTGCCACAGAGGTTGTACTATTCAGGTCCTGTGTTTTGTTTGCTGTGTAAATCACGATGGATATCAGGCACAATAAGGGGCACAGCTAGAAAACCACCATCCAGGTCATAGTGAAAGTTAAAAGACAGTTTTTAAAGGTGGGGGTTGGCACGACGAGAAATATCCAGAGCAACATCTGTGTCAAAGATTGACAAACAGATGTTTGAAAAATGCTTCAAAATAATCAGCCTTTTCTAAGGAAGAAATAAGAACGATGTCATGAGCGAGAATGGGATACTGAGGAGAGTTTATTGTAATTTAAACATAATCCAGTACCGGAAGGGATTAGAAATGTCACACAGTTAGGTGCATGTTCTCTGATATTGTAGTCTCTTTGCTACAACACTAGAATAATGAGCAGTTTGTTGATAACCTCCATATTATTTAAGAAACGCAGGATACTCGTAATGTTGAGATTCTGGGAGGAAAAATGATAACAGGAACACACGTTCGACCTATTAAGAAAACAGCTTCATGTGGTGAGAGAGCTTTGTTTGGACGGTAATGAACAGTTGGAATGTTTTAAGAACTGGCCAAAGAAATGTAAGATGCCAGAGTATGAGCTAAATGATACAAATCCTCAAATGTGTAGAGGCAGAAATCGGTGTCTTGAAGTAAACTATAGACGTGACGTTGAAAATAAAACTAATCATCTTTATAAAAGTAATATATAATGTTTTAGTATGTGGTGGTAGCGTCTAGGATGTTCTGGTAGCAAGATGGGGATAGATGGGTAGATGATAACTGCCAACAGGTATAAGAACGTCAATCGTGAACAGAAATACAATACTAGGAGAGGCAAGGAGAATATCTGATGTAGTATTTTATTCTGTATTTGTATGGAATGGAACCAGTAGTGCACTCTAGGGTGGAATTAAATTGTCAAAGTTTAGAAGAGGAGCGGCTGTGGATGTTGTCATCAGACATTATAAAGTAGCTTTTGAAGGTCTGACGAAAAAGGGGGAAGGAAACATGAAGCAATTCTTCCATTTCTGTATGGTAGCAAGTGTGGTTATGTATCTGTATGGTAGCAAGTGTGGTTATGTATCTGTATGGTAGCAAGTGTGATTATGTATCTGTATGGTAGTAAGTGTGATTATGTATCTGTATGGTAGCAAGTGTGATTATGTATCTGTATGGTAGTAAGTGTGATTATGTATCTGTATGGTAGCAAGTGTGATTATGTATCTGTATGGTAGTAAGTGTGATTATGTATCTGTATGGTAGTAAGTGTGGTTATGTATCTGTATGGTAGTAAGTGTGATTATGTATCTATATGGTAGTAAGTGTGGTTATGTATCTGTATGGTAGCAAGTGTGATTATGTATCTGTATGGTAGCAAGTGTGGTTATGTATCTGTATGGTAGTAAGTGTGGTTAGGTATATGTATGGTAGTAAGTGTGATTATGTATCTATATGGTAGCAAGTGTGATTATGTATCTGTATGGTAGTAAGTGTGATTATGTATCTGTATGGTAGTAAGTGTGGTTATGTATCTGTATGGTAGCAAGTGTGATTATGTATATGTATGGTAGTAAGTGTGATTATGTATCTGTATGGTAGTAAGTGTGATTATGTATCTGTATGGTAGTAAGTGTGGTTATGTATCTGTATGGTAGTAAGTGTGATTATGTATCTGTATGGTAGTAAGTGTGATTATGTATCTGTATGGTAGTAAGTGTGATTATGTATCTGTATGGTAGCAAGTGTGATTATATATGATGAAAAATATAGAATAATGATGAGGTATTCTGTGAAGGTGTAGTAGTACCATCTTTGGATAATGATGAGGTATTCTATGAAGCTATAGTAGTACTATATTTGGATAATGATGAGGTATTCTGTGAAGCTATAGTAGTACCATCTTTGGATAATGATGAGGTATTTTGTGAAGCTCTAGTAGTACCATCTTTGGATAATGATGAGGTATTCTATGAAGCTGTAGTAGTACCATCTTTGGATAATGATGAGGTATTTTGTGAAGCTCTAGTAGTGCCATCTTTGGATAATGATGAGGTATTCTGTGAAGCTGTAGTAGTACCATCTTTGGATAATGATGAGGTATTCTATGAAGCTATAGTAGTACCATCTTTGGATAATGATGAGGTATTTTTGAAGCTCTAGTAGTGCCATCTTTAGATAATGATGAGGTATTCTGTGAAGCTGTAGTAGTACCATCTTTAAATAATGATGATGCATATTTTGAAGCTGTAGTAGTAGTACCATCTTTAGATAATGATGATGCATATTTTGAAGCTGTAGTAGTACCATCTTTAGATAATGATGATGCATATTTTGAAGCTGTAGTAGTACCATCTTTAGATAATAATGATGATGATGTATTCTGTAAAGCTGTGGTGGTACCATCTTTGGATAATGATGAGTTATTCTATGAAGCTGTAGTAGTACCATCTTTGGATCCAAACAAACAATGAAATCTTTCAACCTATCGCCTCTCTAACATATTCCTCGTGGATTGTCACCAGTAAACCGTGTAAACAGCGTAGGTTTAAGAAAAACCTTATTACGTAACAATCAATCACTATATTTGTTACTAGTTTCAGCAAAGTCGATTGGTTTTTAACATATATTAAGAAAATATAAATTCAACAATCTGTTTCTAGCTGACCTGACCATTTAGGTTTCAGCAGTTGCCGAAAGTAAAAAATAAGTGTTTAAACAAGAACAGGTAACATGCATAAGTATTTAAACAAGAACAGGTAACATGCATAAGTATTTAAACAAGAACAGGTAACATGCATAAGTATTTAAACAAGAACAGGTAACATGCATAAGTATTTAAACAAGAACAGGTAACATGCATAAGTGTTTAAACAAGAACAGGTAACACGCATAAGTGTTTAAATAAGAACAGGTAACATGCATAAGTGTTTAAACAAGAACAGGTAACATGCATATTGGTTTTAACAAAAAAGAACGAGCTGAATAGATTTTGGTATCTATATTGGAGTGTAAGAGGGGGGGGGAGAACCACCAAAGATTAATGACGGTGTATCCCAGGACAAAGAATATTTTTAACTTCAAAGTGAAGGTTAACTAACAAGAACGAAATGATAAATTAACCACTAATGTTTTTTTGTTTGTTTGAAGTTATGCACAAAGCTACACAATGGGCTATCTGTGCTCTGCCCACCATGGGTATCGAAACCCGGTTTCTAGCGTTGTAAGTCCGCAGACATACCGCTCTGCCACTGGGGGGGGGGCAACCACTAATGAAACAGGAAGCACGAAAATTAATCTCATCGAAACTACTCCAAGAAATCGCGATGTGCAACTCTGGATCCATTCATCCAGAAATATTTGAAAAAGTTAATAACGATCGACGAGCACGGTGATTCTTTATTCATGTAGAAATTATGTGAATTATTCAGATCAAAAGTTGCTTAAAGTAAAAAACATAAATGTGAAAACCAATCTATTATTATTAGATTTACAACTTTTTATCGAGTTATTCCGGTTTCGGTAAATTCCACATCTCGCCTTACCTCTATTGGGACAGTAAGAGAACAATCTGATGACAGATTTGTAGAAATTAACCTTGTTTTCTGTACCAAATCAACCTTCTAAATAGTGAGTAAACAGATATGACATAGTGGTGCCAGAGTTGTGAACACATGTATAATATATTTCTTTTGTATATTTGTTGTTAAGTATAAAGCACACAATGGGGTATCTGTGTTGTACCAACCGCGGGTAACTAAAGCGTTATGAGGCTTCAGACTTACGGTTGAGCCACTAGTAGGGTGTGGGGGCAATATAATTCGTTTTAATCTGTTTATATAATATTTATTAACAAACAGTTGAAATATAATGTGTTTTGAACTATTTATATAATCTTTAATAATTGTCAGTCGAAAGCCAAGGTATTTTAAGCTGTTTATATAATCTTTAATAATTGTCAGTCGAAAGCCAAGGTATTTTAAGCTGTTTATATAATCTTTAATAATTGTCAGTCGAAAGCCAATGTATTTTAAGCTGTTTATATAATCTTTAATAATTGTCAGTCGAAAGCCAAGGTATTTTAAGCTGTTTATATAATCTTTAATAATTGTCAGTCGAAAGCCAAGGTATTTTAAGCTATTTACATGATCTTTCTTAACTGTCGGTTGATTGTTTGTTTGTTTGTAATTAAGCACAAAGCTACACAAGGGCTATCTGTGCTCTGCCCACCACGGGTATCGAAACCCGGATTCTAGCGTTGTAAGTCTGCAGACATACCGCTGTACCACTGGGTGGCCTGTCGGTGGAAATATAATGTTTTAAATTGCTTATATTATTATTAATAACAGTAAGTTCAAATCTAAACTGTTTGAATGCTTATAAGTTCTCACGTAACTGATAATTTAAATCATGTTTTCCATATTTAGGTCTTAAACAATAATTTCAATTTATTCACTGAGATTAGATAAATTCCACATAATACAACCTTTACTCCACAACCTCAGTTTAACTTTGGTATAGTCAATAAACTCATTAACTTTGGAACTATTCTATACATCTTTCAAAACTGGTGATATAAAGAGAAGAAACAACTATGCAATGTTGGTTGCTCTAAGCCTTGGTCTCACCGAAATTCACACTTCTCACTGAGTGGAAGGAATTCAACAAGAACTGACGTAACGTTTTGCTATACGTCTTGGATCCATATTTTATACTACATTCAAAAATAATCATAGTATTTTATCAGAATGGAACTGAACTATGTTTTCTCTAACCTAATTTTTGTTTTTGTAAGAAGTGAAATGGAAACCGGTTCTATCAGAACTGCATGTGGTAAGATTTGATCGTGAACGTAGTCCAACTGCTGATTTATCTTCAATCACTCTTATCGAAACCACATGTGGTCATAAGTAATCAGGAAAACGTTTATTTTCAATCGTTTTTATCAGAACCAAATGTGATCAGATATGAAAGTAGTCCAGCTGTTGATTTGTTTTCAACCAGTCTTATCAGGACCACGTGTGATCAGATATGATCATCAAAGTAGGCCAATTGTTGATCTTTCTTAAACCAATTTTAGCAGGATCACATATAGTCAGATCTGAGCAAGAAAGTAGTATGGTCGTTGATTTGTCTTGAACAAGTTTTATCAGAATCACGTGCTCAGATCTGAGCAGAAAAGTAGTCCAGTGGTTTCGTGAGAACTAAGATTTAAATGTAAGTTTCTAAGAACAACCCTGACATCACCAGACATCACCGTCCTCTTTCTATGTTGACACTGCATTACAGTTGTCACTTTCTCCATGTTCTTCTTGAGATGCTACTTGTTCTTCAGTATCGCTGTATTTGGACTCATGGATTGACTGGCTGGTAGGGGAGTCACCATCCTGAAACAAAAAGCATCATTTGAAATTTCTTCAAGAAATAATAAAATAAAGGATCACTGTTTAAGATTCGAGAAATTTGGAAGATGGATTTGGCATTTTCACAAAAAAAACAACTAAATTTTATATATCTTTTATTAATTTATGAAAGTAAAAATGCAAATCACTGATTTCTGGCTCTTTTAATGATGTAGAAGTACATTTGTATCTTCGAAGATTCGTAATCTTATACACGCTTTTAATCCTACAAATTCCCAAAACAGGAATAAAATTCTTACTTGTTTGATTCGTCGCCATTTTGCCCTTCTGTTTTGAAACCAAGTTTTAACCTGAAATAAAAAGTTTAACTTTTCAGATCAGGATTGTATTTTTATACAAAACGAAATAATTTAAACGAAATTTATGGGATAAAAGATTACCAGTATGACATGTAACCAGTGTGACATGTATCCAGAGTGACATGTAACCAGAGTGACATGTAACCAGAGTGACGTGTAACTAGCATGACAGGTAACCTGAGTGATATGTAATCATTGTGACATGTAACTAGAGTGACGTGTAACTACCATGATAAGTGACCAGAGTTATAGGTAACTAGAGTGACGTGTAACTAGCATGACAGGTAACCAAAATGACATGTAACCGGCATGACATATGACCGGAGTGACAGGTAACCAGCATAACATCTAAGAAGCACAGCATATAAGCAGTGTAGCATGTAACCACCATGACAGGTAACCAGAGTGATATATATACAGAGTTACATGTAACCAGCATTATATGAAATCAATGTGACATGTAATCAGCGTAACATGTAACCACAGTATCATATAACTAGCGTCACAATTAAGAAACATAACATGTGACCAGTATTACAGGTAACCAGTGTGACATATAACCTGTGTCAGATGTAACCAGCGTGACATGAAACCAGCGTAACATGTAACCATAGTGACATGTAATTAGCATAACATATAACCACTGTGTCGTATAACCAGCATTACATGTAAACAGCGTAACATGTGTCAGATTTTTGTAAGGTCGGATTCTTTACAGTAGGTGACTGTGACTTGTTGGTGATAAATTTCAACAATAAATGGACAGCACACAATCTGTTTGTTTTAAAATAATATATTCAAAACCAGTCAAATGTGTGTACCACAATTCGTTACACTATAAGTTATCACAGCTGTATTCAGAGCTTTAAATAATTGTCCCTTTTTCACCAAAGTCCACACAGGCTGATTCAGTTACTTTAGAACCCAATTAAAATGATAAATTATTTTTTTATATCTTTGTTGTTACAATACAAGCTGTAAAACTTTAAACTTTAGAAATCGTCTATTTCGGTTAAACTGACAAATATGCAGTCTAACTTCACTTTCACAAACTTACTTCTTCTTCTTCTTTGTATCTGCACGTATATATATAACATTCGACAAAAAATCGAGAAATATCTAGCCCTCTGGCAACTACAATATTACACATAACGAGAAAGACATAGAAGTTTCGATTAAGATGACGTCAACAATATTACAAAGGCCCAGTACAACAGTTTAACTGCATACACAACGTACGACTCGTACAGTTACATAAAGAAACTTGTCATAATTATTACTTTTATAATGACTAACTTTTAACACTGTTGTTACGATAATTAAATATTAAATCATTAATAAACTAAATAATCACTCTTAAACGGAACAGTCTTGTATATCCAACAACAGTAAAGTAGTATTCTTACAGCTGGTGAGGTAATCTGTTCCCTGCTGGTGACCCAAATTGTGGTGTACAGTGAAGTTGTATTCTTATTGCTGGTGAATCAACAGCAACGAACAGATTATCCCAAGTTGTGGTGTACAGTGAAGTTGTATTCTTACTGCTGGTGAGATAATCTGTTCGTTGCTGTTGATCCAAGTTGTGGTGTACAGTGAAGTTGTATTCTTACTGCTGGTGAGCGTCAGGGTTATATATATATGGGCATGGATTCTTTTACAGTAGGTGTCTGTGATTTGTTGGCGATAAATGTGAACAGTAAATGGACAAGCACACAATCCACTTGTTTTTAAATATTATATTCAAAACAAGTTAAACATATATACAAAATTATTTACACTGTAGGAAATCACAGTTTTATGTAAAACTCTAAATAATTCCCTTTTCTTGTCAAAAGTCCACTCAGGCTGAATCAATTACGTTGGAATATAATTAACAAGACGAACTATTTTTCTCTGCTTTGTTTCTTACTGCACAATCTGCAATAGATTCACGTACGTTACTCTGTGGGTTGGTACAGTTGTATCTCAAATTTTAAATAATTGTCTCCTTTTGTCAAAGTCCACACAGACGGGTTCAATTACTTTAGAACACCCTTTGACAAGACAAATTATTCTTCTTATCTCTATTAAACTGGAAAACTCACTTTAAAATATCGCCCGTTATGGCTAAGTACTCATACGCTGGCTAACTTCACGCTTTCTAACTGAACTTGACTTTACTTGCGCTCGATATACACCTATATATATATATATATATATATACCGTATTCACTGGGACCTCGAACTTTTTATAAACTACGCGAGCGATGCTATTGTGTAACGATACTCAGTTAAAATAACGAGAAAAATACCGAAGATTCGAGTAACGTGACATCAACAATATTAATAAAGCCTAGACAACAATGTAATTGCAAACGCAACCTACCACTCATACAGAGTTACGTAACAAAATTTGTCACAACTAACGCTTTTAAAATAATGACTCTTAATTCTGTTGTTATGAAAAGTGAATAACTATTAAATATTAAATCACCTAACAAATTAAATAATAACGCTTACACTAAACAGTCTTGTATATCCAACAGTGAGATCATATGTTTCATGCTGTTGGCTCAAGTTGCGGTGTACAGTGGAGTTGTATTCTTACAGATGGTGATATAATATTCTCCTTGCTGTTGGCTCAAGTTGCAGTGTACAGTGGAGTTGTATTCTTACAGATGGTGATATAATCTGTTCCTTGCTATTGGCTCAAGTTGCGGTGTACAGTGGAGTTGTATTCTTACAGATGGTGATATAATCTGTTCCTTGGTGTTGATCCAAGTTGTGGTGTACAGTAAAGTTGTATTATTTCAGCTGGTGAAATAATTTGTTCCTTGCTGTTAATCAAAGTCGTGGTGTGCAGTGAAGTTGTATTTTTACAGTTAGTGAGGTAATATGTTCCTTGGTGTTGATCCAAGTTGTGGTGCACAGTTGTTAGGTTTTATGGGGCTGTAATTCTTTACAGTAGGTGTCTGTGGTTTGTTGGCTATACATTTCAACAGTAAACAGACAGCACACAATCCACTTTTAAAATAATATATTCAAAGAAGTTAAACGTATGTACAAAACTTCGTTACACTATTGGTCATCACAGTTATATCCAGGACTTTAAATAATTGTCTCCTTATCGTGCAGAGTTACTTAACGAAAATTGTCATAAGTATCGCTTTTAAAATAATTAACTTTTAGCACTATTTTTATGAAAATTAAATAATAATTAAATATTAAATTACTAAATAAATTAAATAACAACTTTTAAACTGAACATTCTTGTATATCCAACAACATGTAACCAGAGTGACATGAAACCAGCATGAAATATAAGTAACATGACATTTAACCAGCCTAGCATCAAACCAGCATGACGTATAACCAATACCATATGAAGCCAACATTACTAGTAATCAGCGTAACATATAACCAACATAATATGTAACAACTGTGTCATGTAACCAGCGAAACATGAAACAAGCAGACAGAATTATCGCTATGCAGCATGTAGTTAATAAAATTCATTTGGAATTAAAATGTACGTGTTATTTTGTGTCAGTCCTTACATTTTAAACTCTTAGGAAAATATAAAGTTATAAGTTTAATACGGTGTGAATTTTGATGTGAAAAACTCAAATTTTCTTTAACTTGAACATATGATATTTATTGACAATTCTAATGCTGTGGTGAATAGTAACTAGATATATATGTGTAGAGGTAGTAACAAAGTATTAACCTGTAAAAAGTAGTAACTAAATATAATATATAAAATAGTAGCTAAATGTTGACCTTTTAAAGATAGAAGCTAAATGTTAACCTATAGAGATAGATATTAAATGTTGACTTGTAAAGATATAAACTAAATGTTAACTTGTAAAGATAGAAACTAAATGTTAACTTGTAAAGATAGAAACTAAATGTTAACCTGTAAAGATAGATATTAAACGCTGATTTGTAAAGATAGAAACTAAATGTTACCTTGTAAAGATAGTAGCTAAACGTTAACCTGTAAAGATAGTAGTTAAATGTTAACGTGCAAAGATAGAAACTAAATGTTAACCTGTAAAGATAGAAACTAAGTGTTAACCTGTCTTTCTGTCAGACGCAAGACAGAAGCCATCTTCTTCCTCTCGGGTGGCGAAAGGTACTTCTGCGTTTCGAACACTTTTTCTAATTCTGTGGTTTGATTGTTGGTGAAGCGAATTTGCCCTCCTTTTCGTTTCGGTGGCGGTCTGTGAAGAATGTGAGCCCAGACAAATGGATGACCATTGTTGTGGGGGTCTTCTAGTTTGTAAGTAGAGATTGTCAGTTTTATATCACAAGACAATGAAAACTTCAGTGCGTGTATTTTAGCTAAGTTATAAAGATACATTCAATTTATACGCTGTGTATAAACGATATGAGACAATCAAGTTGATGTTATGGATTAACATTAGATTTGACATTAACAATTTGAGAAAAAATGTAAGACAATGTTTTATTCAATACGCCTAGATATATTTAAATATTTAAAAAGTATTGTTAATTGTCCAATTTAACACTTTGCATTTTCTTAAATAATGCCTTTTAAAACGTTAAAAGAATTCCACACAAATATTAGCTAAAACTATCGTTCTTAAGCCAAAATGCAAACCAAATTAAGAATTTTTTTTACATCTAATGTAATAATCACAAGATAAAAACCATTCATGGAAGAATAAAAAATATTAATAATTGATACATTTTTGTTGAATATTTATTAAAAGCATGGTTATCTTAAAACACCTTTGTTTTGTTGTTTTCTCTTTCGGTATTTTTTTTATTTTTTGAAACTCGGAACAAAACGTTTTATAGAAACAATATTCTTAAATGATGTTTTGCCACCATTCAAAAATGTTTGTAATGAATTGTTAACCTTTTTTACGTTTTGTTTATTCCAATATTGTGTTTATCTCTTTCTAATAACTTTGGTCTGTGAAGAAAGGTTGGCGAGTTGTTTTAAGTTAATAACATCTCATAAGACAGTAACGTATTAACTTTTCATAAGGTCTTGACGTAGTAATAAACCATAAGTTAATAACGTAGTGATATCTCATAAGGTAGTAAGCTAATAACATCTCTTATTGTAGTAACATATTTTAAGGTAGTAACTAATGCAATTCCATAGGGTTGTAACGTAGTAGCATGTCTTAAGGTAGTAACGTAGTAATATCTCATAATGCAGTAACGTAGTGACATTTCTTGAGATACTTACGCAGTAACATCTCATAAGTAGTGACGTACTAACATCTCATAAAGTAGTAACGTAATAACATCTCATAAGGTAGTAACGTAGTAATATCTCATAATGTTGTAACGTAGTAACATAGTAATATCTCTTAAGGTAGCAACATCTCATAAGGTAGTAACGTAATGCCATCTCTTAAAGAGTAACATCTCATAATGCAGTAACGTAGTAACATTTCATAATGTAATGACGCTGAAGTTATACAACAGGACGATCTATTAATGTCTACTTAATCTAGTCTATATATGATGATTGGAGATTTGTTTCAAGTGTATCTTTAGGACTCGTGTTACTGTTTATAGCAGAGTTACACAAACAATGAAACATTACACGTGAACCGATAAGTTCTCTCTAGGTCGACCAATCAGCTTGTGTTTCTCTCTCTCTTTATACATTTACAAAAACAAAGTAAATTATAATTCTATATCCAACGTAAAATTAATTTAATTATACATGGTTTACGTTTGTTTGACTGAAGCTTCAACAGAGAGAGAGTCTTGAAGAACAAGCTTCAAGATGTTTCCTGATGTAGATGTCACGTGAACGCTGCATTTCAAGGGGCTTTCATTGTGTGCTTGAAACCAATGCTACTATTCCATTGACTTTCCGATTAGTTGGTTGCTCAGAGCTAAGCTGGAAGGCTTTGAGCTTGTTTAAAGTGTTTAAGAGCTATCTCAGCCACGTCATTAGAGAATGTATATAACAAATATAATACAAGTATGCAGATCTTCAAAGTAGGACGTAACGACGACTGTCAACCACTCCTTCCCGGACTCTGTTTGGAGACAATTAAGGTCCATTATCGCCTACCGGTCTATCCTGCTGCCGTCCAAAAGCTGTTGACATGTGTTGCTTTAAAAGGTTAGCAAGAGACAAACAAATAACTGACGCAACTCGTTAGTTAAAGGCGATAATTACGATCGTTAGAGTTTCTGTGCACCCAGGAAAGAGCTTTGTCAACACTTCGTTCTTTAGATATTCTCAGCCCAGGACGAAGTCAATAAAGCTCCGATGATTCCTGCCTACCTAGACACGAGCCTGTATATCACAGATTAAAGCAAGGTCTCGGCTTGTTCACCCCGTGGACAACGCTGAGAAGCCCGGGGAAGTTGCTCAGAACCGGAAACCGCCGAGAAGTGGTTCGGAGTTTCTAACGAATTCCGGAAGTCCCAGGCATTTCATGGGAAAAGAAGGCTTCCGGAGAACAGATGGAACCCTAATGTTCCCTATAGCTGACGATTGTGTACACCAGGTACAGTTTTCAACACGTGCTTGTAATATTCGTAATAACACTTAAAGTAATACTAAAACCTCTTAACCGAGTATCACAGTTTAAATAAACACGTTTCTACAATCCAAACATAATTTGCTGTAAAATTTGCTGGCTGTAAGCTGAGATTTTCTCCAAACTCCAAAATTAAAGTCTCCAAACATCTATGAGATTATTCTAAGGGATTTTGTTGTCGCAACACAATAGACAATTTTTCTTCTGCCAACAACGGATATTGAGACCCAAATTTTGGCGTCTTAAGCCTTCAAACTTACTATTGGGTGGTTTATTGTAAGGGAAAATTAAGTTTAATTTCATGTTTGTAAGCAGCAGCTTATAAACACATTTTGAAACTGACCTAATCTCTAACTGTGTATGACATTATTGTAAACGAAAAAATTAATTAAGGTTTATTACATACTTTTAAACTGTTGTTTAGATGCACATTTGGAGACTCATTTTCCACTGCTTGTAACTATTAAGTACATAGTGCTTGTGTTCCTTAATGGAACATTCGAAATATTACACAACATAGATTACTCCGCCTGTATCCTTATTTTGTAAAGCTACAAATATAACAAACAATGAATTGCTACACTCGTGTTCTCACCTTAGAATGTTAAAAATATTACATAGCATGAATTACTTACAAGGGTTCTTACCTTGGAATGTTAGCACAGATTACTTCTCTCGTGTTCTTACCTTGGAATGTTAGCACAGATTATTCCACTTGTGTCCCTTACCTTGGAATTAAAAGTATCACACAGAAAAAAAATACTCCAATCGTGTTCTTTCCATAGAATTCTAACATGGATTACTCCACTCGTGTTCTTACCTTGTAATGTTAGCATGGACTACTCCACTAGTGTTCTTACCTTGTAATGAGTAATCCATGCTAATAAGAACACGAGTGTGGAGTAATCCATGCTAACATTACAAGGCATTTACTAGGTAAGAACACTAGTGGAGTAGTCCATGCTAACATTACAAGGTAAGAACACTAATGGAGTAATCCATGCTAACATTACAAGGTAAGAACACGAGTGTAGTAATCCATGCTAACATTACAAGGTAAAACCACAAATGGAGTAATCCATGCTAACATTACAAGGTAAAAACACAAATGGAGTAATCGATGCTAACATTACAAGGTAAAAACACAAATGGAGTAATCCATGCTAACATTACAAGGTAAGAACACGAGTGTAGTAATCCATGCTAATATTACAAGGTAAAAACACTAGTGGAGTAGTCCATGCTAACATTACAAGGTAAGAACACTAATGGAGTAATCCATGCTAACATTACAAGGTAAGAACACGAGTGTAGTAATCCATGCTAACATTACAAGGTAAGAACACTAGTGGAGTAATCCATGCTAACATTACAAGGTAAGAACACTAATAGTAATCCATGCTAACCATTAGTGTTCTTACCTTGTAATGTTAGCATGGATTACTCCAGGCATGTATTTACCTTGGAAAGCTAGCACGGATTACTCCATGCATGTCTTTACCTTGTGATGTTAGCATGGATTACTACACTCGTGTTCTTACCTTGTAATGTTAGCATGGATTACTCCAGGCATGTCTTTACCTTGGAAAGCTAGCATGGATTACTCCAGGCATGTCTTTACCTTGTGATGTTAGCATGGATTACTCCACCCGTGTTCTTACCTTAGCATGGATTACTCCAGTCATGTCTTTACCTTGTAGAGTTAGCATGGATTACTCCAGGCATGTCTTTACCTAGTGATGTTAGCATGGATTACTCCACTAGTGTTCTTACCTTAGCATGGATTACTCCAGTCATGTTTTAACCTCGGAATGTTACAATAACAAATACTGTAGTGTGTGGTGTGTAAAACGTACCAATGATGGAGTTTCTGCTTTCTCCTCTCATGGGTGAAGGAAATCCTCCAAAGAAGTCAGATCTAGCTTTAGGAAAAGTCCATACAGAGGTTGGAGATATCGGATCTGGAGTAACTGGACTGGATCCAAGGGACACGTCTTTGATAGGAGATTGTGGCTCGGAAAAGGAGCTCTGTCTGGATGCGGATATTCTGTAATCAAAGGATAGTCTAGTAAAGTCTGAATGAGAAGTGGACAGACGACTTCCGGCACAGCACCTACTTGAAACACGACCACCGTCACTGAACGGAATGAAAACAAGCGGGGTTGGCTTGTGAATAGTTGTTCTCAACTGAGATTTCGAGATACTGTCCGTCTTCAAAATATCGTCAATCATGAACGAACGTAGTGCTCCGGGTCTGGACATTTTCTGAGTTGTTAGACAAGGTGTGGGATGAGTCCATGTAGAATGGAGGGGGTAAGTTGCGGAAATATAAGAAGTATCCATAGGCAGGTCCATACAGATGAATGTGATATTCGTTCTATCTATACGCTTGTAACAGGAAATAGACGTTTGTACAAAAACCTGAAGATACAGACAAAATTATATAAGTTACTGAGATTATAGTCTCAAACACATACTCACACTTGTAGTGTTGATACTTTCTTATGTGTGTGAAATTCATGTAGACTCTTTCCTATCAGAGTGTGAAACCCATGTTAATCCTTTCTTATCTGTGTGAAATTCATGTAGACTCTTTCCTATCAGAGTGTAAAACCCATGTTAATCCTTTCTTATCTGTGTGAAATTCATGTAGACTCTTTCCTATCAGAGTGTAAAACCCATATTAATCCTTTCTTATCTGTGTGAAACCCATGTAGACTCTTTCATATCAATATGTGAAACTTATGTTGGCCCTTTCTTATCTGTGTGAAACCCATGTAGATTCTTTCCTGTCAGTGTGTGAAACCCATGTTAATCCTTTGTTATCTGTATGTGAAACCCATGTAGACTCTTTCCTATCAGTATAAGAAACTTATGTTGACTCTTTACTAACAGTGTATGAAATCCATGTTGACACTAGGCTATCTGTTTGTGAACCTCACGTTGACCTTTTTCCTTTCATTGACTGAAACTCATGTAGATTCTTTCCGACCAGTGTGGGTGAATTTCACGTTGACATTTTCTATAAGTGTGTGTGAAACTCATCTTGACTCTTTCCTATCAGTGTGTGAAACCCATGTAGACACTTTGCTATCAATGTCTGAAACCCATGTTGACACTTTACTATCTCATTGCGAACCTCACATTGACTTTTCCCTATCAGTGTGGGAAGCGTATGTTGTCACTTTGTCATCAGTGTGAAACTCATGCATACTCTTTCCTATCAGTGTGTGTGTGTGAAACTCATGTAGAAATTTTTCTATCAGTGTGTGAAACCCATGTTGACACTTTGCTATTTGTTTGTGAACCTCACGTTGACCTTTCTCTATCACTGTGTGAAACCCATGTTAATTTTTTTCCTATCAGTGTGCAAAAGCCATGTTGACACTTCCTGTCAGTGTGTAAAACCCATGTTGATACTTTGCTATTAGTGTGTATGTATGAATTTCTTTCCTCTAAATCGTTATCACTGAAAGTATAACGAATGGTGAAGTACTTATAACATGTTCAAAATAATTCTTATAAAAAACGAATTTTGACAACACCTAGTGCTGAAAATATCTCATCAGGATTCTTCTTAATCTCTAGTCAACTTACAAATAGTGTCTGGTGGTTTCTTTATGTATTTTCCTTTGTTTTCATAGAACCTTAACCAATGCTGTTATCATCAATAGGAGAATATTTTTAATGACTATGAACTACATTTTATATTGATCGTAAATATTCAAAAGAAACAATTCATAAAATATACCTTTTAGTTAATTAAATTATCACACTTCGGTGTCACTGGAAAATAATTATCCTGGTGGCAACTATACAAAGGTTGGTCCAGGATAATGGTCCTGATACAGGATAATGAAAGCGACTTTTTGAAGCTATGTTTCTCAATAATTTTCTGTAGAAATTAAAGAACATTTTGATATAATTTTTACATTACAACTTGGTATGTCGACTGAGCTTAACTTTAACTGCCTAATCTGTCAGGGCCTTTTTCAACATTATTTGGATTATGAGGGATAGAATGCCTAACCGACGAATTAAACTAAACATAGATCGTATTACCATTAATCTTGATGCCTCTCTGTGCTTCAGCTTTGTGCTTAACAACAACCAAGCAGCTAACCTTTACCTACCCTTCAATGTTACTGAGCAGTTCTGAAGCTATGCTTTCGAGTGAGGTTTAATATTGTGTATTATAAGCAATGTTGTTCAACTTAATTTTAGTTTGTTTTAATTTTATTTGAAATTAAGCCTATCTGTATTTACATATACATTGCACTTATTTCTTTATTTGTAAAGATGCAATTGCAATCAAAGAAACATGGCCTAAGCATAAATGTTCCACTTCGAAGAAAGAACGACATCTTTCTTTCAACGTCACATGAAAAAAAAAAAAAAGGAACGATGTGAAAATCGTTTGTTTCTGCTGGTGGCCAGTTTCTCTGACATTAACACTAAAAGCATTTAACAGGCTAGCTGACCGTTTCTGACCACGACTTTTCTTAATATTATATTCTAATTTAGGGTCCATCAGAATTTACAGCAATGTTTTAAATGCACAAGCATTATTTATATGACGGTATAAGACAGAAAACAGCATTTGTGTTACTTTACTGGTTATTTTTAAACATGGTGATTTTACTACAAAATACAACAAACGTTACCACACTCTGAATATTCGTGAATGGTTTTTGGTTTTTCTTGTTGTCTTCTGGATGTCAAGAAGAAATTTCTTATTTCTATAAAAATCTGCTCTTTCTCTGATGTCAGAAAAGCACTCATTTCTGAAATAGTTGATTACCCTAAGTGTCCAGCGTCATTTTTTTGCAATAGAAATTGTGAATAGAAAAAAATATGTATTTTAAACAGAAGATTCATGAGAAATATATTTTTGATAACGTCTTCTGAGATCTCCAGTACTGAACAACCAGTTCATAACAAAGTAGAATCATAGCTAAAAATGACCCAACCAGTTCTTAATAGTGTATAATCTTCACACTGGTACTGAACAACCAGTTCTTAATAACATAGAATCATCACACTGGTACTGAACAACCAGTTCTTAATTATATGGAATCACTCCACTGGTACTGAACAACTATCTCATAACAAAGTATAATCATTGCCAAACATAACACAATCGGTTTTTAATAATGTAGAATCATCATACTGGTACTGAACAACCAGTTCTTAATTATATAGAATTACTCCACTGGTACTGAACAACTATCTCATAACAAAGTATAATCATTGCCAAACATAACACAATCGGTTTTTAATAATGTAGAATCATCATACTGGTACTGAACAACCAGATATTAACAATATAGAATCATCCTACTAGTACTGAACAACACGTTCTTAATAACATATAATCATCCCACTGGTACTGAACAACCAGATATTAACAATATAGAATCATCCTACTAGTACTGAACAACACGTTCTTAATAACATATAATCATCCCACTGGTACTGAACAACCAGTTCTTAATAACATAGAATCATCACACTGGTACTGAACAACCAGTTCTTAATTATATAGAATCACTCCACTGGTACTGAACAACCAGTTCTTAATAATATAGAACCATCTTATGTTTAGTACCTATTGTTCAGTACCCGTGTGATGGTTCTGTATTATTATTATGAACTGGTTGTGCTATTTTTGGCATTGATTCTATGTTGTTATGTTTAGTACCTATTGTTCAGTACCAGTGTGATGGTTCTATATTATTATTATGAACTCGTTATTATGTTTAGTACCAATTGTTCAGTACCCGTGTGATGGTTCTATATTATTATTATGAACTGGTTGTGCTATTTTTGGCATTGATTCTATGTTGTTATGTTTAGTACCTATTGTTCAGTACCAGTGTTAACGAGTTCATAATAATAATATAGAACCATCACACGGGTACTCAAAAACCATTTAACAGACCCAGCCAGTGGCTAGCAAGAAGGATAAGACTGTATTAAGAATTTAGAAGTCATTCTGTTTGAGTCATTATGTGTGTGTCTTATAGCAGAGCTGTACCACCCTACTAACTGTGGCGCGGATCATGATAATTTAAAAAAAAAACACAACAGATAACATACTCTCTCTCTCCCTCGTAACAATGTAATTGTGATACACGAGAGAACAAGGGATGTGAGGTACAGCAAATTAAACTCCAGTCTGACTTCAAATTAAATTTCTCTTCTAGTTAATCTGACATAAGTTAAAAATTATGTAAACCATGCTAGAAATTTAACATTACATCTAATAATTCACAGTTTAAACGTATATAAACTACCTTAAACACTTAACTATATATCTAAAGAAGTACAGCTTAAGCTAATCACATTAACCGGATTTTTGAAGCTGATCATGTCAACCAATCGGAGAACGTAGAATTAAAATGTATTAAATCAAGTACATACAACCAACGTTTCCCGCTTCATTTTATTAGTTCTATCAAAGTATCATAACTAATGAAGTACGAAACGACTTATAACTTCTTACGCTGTAGTAAGTCCAATCAGACGAATGTCCTTCCTTCTTCAATATTTTAAGGTTTCACTTTCAGTTTACGTTTTCTTTCATGCCTGTGGACCGAGAATACTGAAAATAGAAAATCGACATAATCACTGAATTTACCAATGGCGATATGAGATCAAAAACATCACATGATTAGAGATCGTAGCAAACAATGATTTATAAGAATAATGAGTGTTTTTAATTGGGAAATATTAAACATGTTTCGACGGAACATTGGTCTGTCTTCTTCATGTACCCAATGTTGTGTCGATACATGTAGCATGCTCCCCAAAAATAAAACCACTTTATAATGTTTATAAATTGTTGTTGGCCAATTTACTATTATATTAGCTTTATGTGCTTCTGTACACAAGTATGATTAGAGATCATGTGATCAGACATAGCACATTAATTGAAATCAAACAGAATACATGACATTAGATTAGAGATCATGTGATCAGACATAGCACATCAATTGAAATCAAACAGAATACATGACATTAGATTAGAGATCATGTGATCAGACATAGCACATTAATTGAAATCAAACAGAATACATGACATTAGATTAGAGATCATGTGATCAGACATAGCACATTAATTGAAATCAAACAGAATACATGACATTAGATTTGACAAAACAC